AAAATCTTCTGATTTTCAGTCATAAATACAACATGTGATTTAACAGGGAAGAGGTACTTGAAAAAAGAATTTTAATCCATCATTAAATTTAAATTAAACATACATTTGTATAATATATATTTTCTGTTCATGTACAAAAAAAAAAAAAGATCACGTGATATATAACGTGATTACTTCAGCCCTATGAGTGCACAAATGCAAAGAAAGATATTATGGTTAGTTTACAATAATATGGGTACGAGCAAAGTTTACTCTGACTTTCAAAAAACTGAGAAGAACTTGCCCAACTGAATAGAACGTAATTATGAAAGACCATTTCTTGGACTGTCTTCTCAAAGATACCCATGTTTGCAGTGAAAAATCAAAGATGAATTTGTCTTCCACTAGGAAAATCTGTGAGTGATTGATGCAAAAACAATGATTGGACATGTTTGTAAAGTGCAAACGACATCATACTGGATCTTAATTGAAGTTCAGCGGTGATCAAAAATCTACAAAGATACCATGTAGAGAGCATTTCAGAAAATGGCATACGTGACTCAATGATGAGTTGAAAAATAGAAGCTGATCTGAGGCACAAATAAGAAAGTGAGAACTCGTTGGTGCTTAAAGCACAAACTGTCGAGATTGAGTGACTGAAAATGTATGGTTATATTAAAATGATTCTGAATATGCAATTCAACAAATCTCGTGAAACCGCGGCCGATATAAAGTCGCTGCGATACGGCATATATCATATATGTGCATTTTGACGTTGTTTTGAGCTTCATAGTCATTGTTATGCTACCTAATATTTATTACCTTTGGGAAGGTTATGTTTCCGACGTACAGTATCCATACACTCGGATAATAAACATGTGTTCAGGGAAGGGATTTAGAACTTCCATGACAGGGATATCCCTTGTATTTAATGGCATTGGGAAGTAAAGGAATGTGGATCAATTTAGAGAACCATCAAAACATAGACCTACAACAAGTTGTACCCCAACCATGTTAAGCAAAGTTTTATAGCGGGTATCCTAGGCAAAAGTGTCAACATAATATAAAAGAATCTCCTTCAGTAGACGAGGTCAACAGGATAAAGGTCCTCCAAGATAAGACTTTCTGTGATACCTCTCATTCAATCTTCGAATATCTCAAGTAGCTGGACAATGAAACTGGTATTCCTTTTGTTCCATATAAAGGCTTGACTATCAAGGCACTGAACTTCTATGAGATTGAACTGTTGAAATGAGTACTGGGAAACAGTCATCCTCGTACAATATATGGATCATGAAACGCATGCAAGGTGTGCTTTGGACACGACAGCCTTACGACAGACCCATCTGTAATTGAAACTACATTGCAGGGCTATTGTTACAGTACACGGTAGTCATGTAAAGCATGACTAGACGTGACGACATCGTGGACTGTTAAGACGTGGTGAAACTCTAAAATGATTTTCGTATAATGTACTCAACCTATGTATATTCTTTTGAATCATGTTTCACCCTTTATCTCTGAGAACAGTAGATACAAAATACCGAAGAAACAATATGAGGCACTTGGTCCTGTGTTTGTTGTTTCGAGAGTGTAACTTTCTTGATTGAGTCTAATGATGTATGAAACATTTTGTGACAGGGCTTGAATCCTTTGATTTCTTTAGAAGAGCGAATGATATTCAAAGGTACCTGAGCGTTGTTACCAATTATTTCCATCCATATTGCTACACTTCTACCATTGTTTTTCCATAACGATATTGCAAGGAGTCATTAGAGCTGTATTATCCAAAATTGGCTAACACAATCACCGGATCATACTTTAACTGAACATCTTTGAAGGTCGCATTCGCCACTATAATTCTCTATCAGCATCTACGAACCACGTGCTGACCATACTCCTCGTCAATTAAGCTACAATCAAATAACCCCTTTGAACTTCAGTTTCATAAGGCATGTATGGGATGCTCTTGAGAGATGCGCAACATTCTACTAAGCGACCAAGACACCAAAATTTTTTGAAAGTAGGAGGAGTATGACGATGATCCAAAGCTTTATCTACGCTCTGATTTTAAGCATGCAACACTGTTGCTACTCCATACTGGAGTGAAGTGTCATGATAAGTAGAGATTTGAAAACCACAATTACGAAGTGTTTATTTACGAGGGCAAACTGAATGACCAATCATTTGCATTTTAAATCACATAATTGGTCATCAGATACATAATTTGCATACAACGTAACTAAGATGTAATTGATATCATTTTATAACAGTTGTTTAGCATTGTACTACCCATAGTATTACAAATTACAATTATTCTTTAATTGTTTTGAGCAGTATTCCTTTAATATCCTTATTCCTATTCTGCTCTGAGATGAAGGGTTATATGAAAACAAAATATAGTGTATGAAAAGGTATATAGCTGGATAATTTATCAATGTTCATCTCTAAAACTGAATTATCACTTGCTGGGATCAATCTCGTCACGATTTCTCTTAACTAGCAATATAACTACGTTAGTGGCTTTTGTTCGAAAACTATTTAAGTTCAAAATATTACGTTAACCATCGTATGATTTATGAGAACAATAATATTTGTTCTATTACTGTTTAACCAAATAGCAACCACGCTTTGGAAGTAGCATACGGCTTTTCAATGTATAAAATGTTTTCATTCGAATCTTTAATATTAATATTTCTTTGCTATTATGTTGCGCACTGAAGAGAAAATACGAGTTATAATTATTAAACTGTTTGTTTTTGTTGGATTTTGCGAAGAGGTACTTAAGAAATATCTACACTAGCCATCCCTCATAGAAGTGATAGATTAGAGCTAAGCCAGGTAATCAACATCACACAACGTCAACTACTCTAATTGAATAGTCACATTATAACTCCCCCCACGGTTGAAAGGGTATGTTTAGTGATGGAATTCAATCCTACGACCCGTAGATTGCGAGTCTAAAACCCCTAACTGCCACCGGGCTATGCCAGGTCTTGTTTAAGCACTTAAAATATGAAAAGCCACAACTATCTTGAAAGTGAAATTGAACCTCTGTAATATGAAACATAATTGATCGTGTTGGTTAACCCAAATTTCGTACCATGAACAATTGAAAACTATAGTTTCAAGATATATTACTACATAAGTTAATCTTACACGAAACTTTCTTACATAGAAAGAATAAATTGATATAATACCGTCATTCATACCGAATGACGTTTCTTATGATCGACCTAAAATGATGTATTTTCAATACTGATGTTTTCAGCCTGTCATTTGTAATTCAATACGAGCAAACATGTTATATATTACAGTTTGTACTACTAAAGGAGGAAGAAGACTCAAGCTCTGAAACTGCTAAAGAGCTTAAAAAAAACGTAGAAAGAACATAGAAAGATACGTTCATGAAGGCGTTCAATGCGAAACTGTCTACCCACCTAAAGATATACAATGCTATCTCTATCATCGGCCTCATTGGATTGATAAGGACTGAATGATAAGGTGCAAACCCACACATTTTGAAGTGGTATTAGTATGGAATTTGTTATTTAATATTGGCAGATATGTTTCCTATTACATCATGTTTTAATACATGTAGAAGGGAATCAAATTTGCTAATCTATTTGAAAAAAAAAGACACCACTAAAAACTCTCTTGCTTATGATAGAGTAAAAAGATAAGAACGTTCGTAAATTCTGTGTCATTTTGTTTCTCACATGCACCTAAAGACGTATGAAGCTAGTTTTGGAAAACGTGATTTTCAATTATATATTAATCTAGCCTTATAAAAGCCGGAATACCTCGGAACCAGAGTAATACCATCCCAAATTAAATATTTTACTTTAAATGTACTACCGTTCAACCTGCAATATTCTATCATACAGCATTGGGTAACAATGATATCATGTAGCACACGTTTTCAGCTGGAGGTTCACAAGGAGCTTTGGAAAGGCGCTTAACAACCTAGTATTTCTTATGTAGGATTTACAATCTATGGTCTAGTCTTACATGGTTTCACTAGATCTACACTGAGTTGATTTCTTTACATACAGAGACAGAGATTGGTATCGCGCTGGGCTGGGGGTCCATAGAAGGTTGAGAACCACATTAAGTCTACGTAACAGTTTAAAATATGATATTTGCTATCGACCATGAGATATGCTACTAGTTAAAATTAGATCTGATACATCTGACATTAGATATAATACCAGCAGACAACAGTCAGAATTATATACTACTTCAAATATGCTATCAATCAATTTCAATCATATTATACCATGCTACATCAGATGTGTGCTGTCTTTCAATATAGAAAACGATACAATTTAATTCCAGATATTCTGTTATCCAACCTTAGATGTATTAGTATTGAACGTTATTATCCAATACTGGGCATGCTGCTATCAGATGTGTGCTGTCTTTCAATATAAAAAACGATACAATTTAATTCCAGATATTCTGTTATCCAACCTTAGATGTATTAGTATTGAACGTTATTATCCAATACTGGGCATGCTGCTATCAGATGTGTGCTGTCTTTCAATATAAAAAACGATACCATTGAATACCAGATATTCTGTTATCCAACCTTAGATGTATTAGTATTGAACGTTATTATCCAATACTGGGCATGCTGCTATCAGACATTAAATTTACTACCATTTAACAATAGAAATGAAAACCTATTTATGATTAGGTTATACTTTAAGAACTTAGAAAAAAAAAGGAAGGAATGAAAACGAGATAAACAAACCTGATAAATTATGTATAAATCAGTGTAAGAGCAACAGAATCTAAACTTAACATAGACTGTAAAACAGCCAAGGAGTTATAGAACATTAATTGAGTCTTAAACATGCTATGCACCATTTCAACAGGTTCAGAAGGGAAGAAAAGGTGAAAACCGCCCGTATATTTAAAATCACTATTTCCGTAAACATTCCATTATATCACAATGACTATATCAAATAATCAGATAGGAGTTGTAATGTTTTATTACAAACAAATTGATGGTTTACCTTAGGCGTCGAACGCTATCAGGTAGCCAGTTATCTCCAACAGAAACTTTTTCTGATCCAAGACACACAAAGTGTCGATCACTTGGTGTCAACTTGTAGCGATCCTTATTTCTACACTATACTGTATAATAAATAGCTACTTGAAACTATGGAAAGGAACGTTTGAGGCGCTAGAAGTATGAGGTAAGTGAATCACTTTTGAGTTCAGCCGTGTTTGAGCGCCGACCCTGTCTCTTTGTTGATCTCTGGAGCTAGTCACAGCCTTTTGATTTCCAAATCCAGTCAACGTGTCGTTGTCTGGCACGCGCTTAGGCGTGTTGAGTATGAGAAGCGCGTGCCTGGTTACGCCACAGGCATCACGGGTGTGCCTATTTCCCCAGGGTTAGGAAAGTAAAGAAGAGAATAGTGATGTGCTGTGCTGCGAAACCGACAGCCACCAATGGTTAACTGTTAAAACTGATAAGTAGTTTCACTTTGTTTACTTGCAATGATTCATTAAAAAAATGCCGATATAATACGGAAATCTGTTTGGTTCAGTATATTAGCAGTAGATACAATAAACTTTTTTTTTTTTTTACTATGATAATACAAGAAGAAACAATTCTGCAAAACAAAACATTTATTCTGATTTTTTTTACTGTAACTGTTATTTCGACTCATAATTAACAAAACAATAGTGTGCAATAACGATTTCAAGTGAAGAAAAGGTTGAAGACGGATTTCTTATTTTGTAAAAAATGACATATAAAATTTGTAGTTTATTATATTTCCATTCTCCATAAACATACCCAAGAATTTTCAGGATTAGATCCAAAGTATCCAGGAATCCTTTACCTTGCTGGGTGCCAGGTGTCTGGGATGGTCTTCCTTCAGCGAGCACAGCACCTAAACGTTTACCTGTGTATTTCCCTGATTCAGATATTTATTTTTCAATATAAGTATAATAAAATGTCAGAACAAATTTTGTTTTTATCTGTAATGAATGAGGGTGTCTGTAATGACCACAGTGATATCTTTTTACTTTGAATAAGGAGACGACAATATATTTTTCAGTATGCTGTGGAAAAATGTCCAAGTTCCTTAGTTTTAATTAAGATTTTACACTAGAGTGTTCTAAGTTATGTGTCAGCAGTATAATATATGATGCTTCTCATTGTCTGCTAATTTTTAAAGGTTCCCGATTTATTCAGAAGTTCGAAGGTTTTATTTGTAAATGCAGAACACAATTCTATCTTTAGGAACTAAAATGATACCTTTATTGTCCATAGAATCGAAAAATTATATAGAAAATAAACTTGAAGTCGTTCTTCTGCACATACAAATATTTATTCAACCAAAAATGCTTTATTTATTTAATTTTATACACCAAAATTTAAAAAAAAAATCTAAATTTTTGCGTGTTTCAAAGGAAAACATTAGTGATCGAGAATTTCCTGAATTTTTTCTCAGCATAATAAAGAACTCATAGCCTTCTGCCCCCCCCAGTGGCACAGCGGT